AACCTGCAGATATTGAATTATTATTGTTTCCTCTATGTTTCAGGAAAAGCTCCGCAGACTCTTTGGCAACAATCTGTCCATATGAAATTAAAATTGAGAGTATTAGATAAAATCCCCGAAGCCTAGACCCTGGTGGTGGTCACCAAGGAGAAGGATTGAAGACCTGGTTTTGCTGATGAGGCGTGATAGGGAGGAAACATCCAGGAGGAGGGTTGGTGCACAAATTAAAAATTTCTGCACATTATGAAAGCTCAATGCCTATGCAGGACAGTGTTTAAATGCTGCCAGATGAGATATTATTGACAGTGCAGAGTGTGAGGAGCAGCAGTGGGAGGACTGAGAGCAGTGCGCTTTAACCAGTATTGAGGTTTTGAGGAATGTATAAAAATCTATTTATTTATTCAAATTACAAGAATCTATGCCGCCTCTTTCACCAGAATTTTTAACACATTTTTAATAACTTTTTCCCTACTGTGTTACTAACTGTACTTTGTACTTTTACTGCTCCATATTTAGCTGCTGCACTTAGTCACAAAACTCACTCTGGTGAAATAAAAGTTAAATAGATATAAAAATACTGCAATACTGACACAGTGAAGTTTAAATGGTGTTTCTCTGGCAGCTCGCCCATTTGTCCTCACACTGCACAAAGTGAGGGGGATTTGATTGCAGCAGTCCTTACATAGCTTTATTACTTTTCAAGGGGGGGGGGGGCAACCATGGTTTTTCCTAACTGGATTGTGGTTTCCTGTATTCCCTGGGCAAAATTAAGTTTCTAGCCTATAAAATATTCCAATTGTTAGGCATGAAAATGCGCACTTGGCACTAAAAATAGCCACGCAGACGGTGGATAGCTAGTCATCAACTCCACACAATGGAGCTCTGTAGCAGTTGATCACCGTGTTTGCCTCCGATGAGAGTTTGTGTCCAACCCTGCAACAATCACTCATTCTTAATACATCAGAAAAGCACATAAGCAACGTCCCAGTGTGTCCTGCTCACAAACAGGTCATGTGTCTTCATCAGGCTCACTCTGCTGTGTCATGGAGCCATTAGAGCCCAATGATGCTGTACTTCCCTCATTATAACTTAGCACAAGGTTAACTGAGGATTTTCAACTAAAACATTGTGTTATAGTAAGTGAAATACTTACTAAAGGACAAGGTCAGTGCACAACATCATTCCTTTTCGAATGATCGAAAATGGAATTATCTCCATGGCGATAGATTTAGCTTAGCAATGGAATCAAGCAGTTTATGTTCCTCTGTGTAGTTTCTGTGGTATTTTCTATTTCATGTTCAAGTAATACAAATTGATGAAGTAATTTGTATTTCTCTTTTCAAACGTGTTAAAGTCCTTTTTAACCAAGGGAAGGCAAGGCAAGTTTATGTTTGATAAACAGTTTTATTGTTTGCTAAACAAAAACTTGTTTAGCAGCTGATTTGAAGAGTACCCTTAAGATTTGAGTAAGATTGGGTTCACAGTGACTCAAGTGAACCAGAAATGGCAACAATGCTTCATTTGTGGAGATGCTAAACCACAAAAATGACCACTGGGACAGTGTACAGATGTCCCAGTGTACGGTTGTTTCATATCTCTTTCTGTTCTAAGTTACACCCAGCACAATAACACACAAAGCACTTTGTTCTTTGAGCTCCACTAATTGTAAGTTTTGGCAGTATTAAACATCCTGTACCCTGAATCGGAGCCAGGTCTGTGCTCAGTGTGCGTGATCAGAAGTTCAAAGGGGCAACTCTTCTCCTTGGACAGCTTTAATTTATGAAGGACACCGAGCTGATGCACCGCCACTGTTTAAAAGAGAGACGCTCCCAAACAAAAGCTTCTTCTAAGTGCATTGCGGGCTACATCTTATTGATTTTTGTGAAGACAGAAAAACGAGCATTCCCCTGCTGTCCTCCTCAATGACATACACATCTCTGCAAAGTAAAGTGGTCTCGAGTGGGTCTGACACCAAAACGGAGATAACAACAACTTAAACTGTGAGACAATGCAGCTATACTGTAGCATTGTACACCCATGGGCAATATACAGACAGCATTAATAATAATAATAATAATAACAACAGTATATCACACTTATATAGCAGTTTTTGGCCACTCAAAGACGGCTTACAAAGGGACAGGTTAATAACAAACAAAATTAAAAAGCTCTCATAAACAGTTACCTGTAGGCAGTTTTGAACAGATGGGTTTTGAGCAGTGATTTGAAGTTCTGACATGAGTCCGAATTCCTGAGAGTAGGGGCAACTGCAGCGAAGGCTCGGTCCCCCGAGGTTGGGCACTTTGATGGGAGTGAGGAGGTTGGAGTCTGTGGATTTGAGGCAACGGGAGGGACAGTGCTGATGGAGGAGGTCGGTGAGATGTGAGGGGGCCACATTATGAAGGGACTTATAGATGATGAGAAGGACCTTATATTGTATGTGGATCTGGGATTTCTCAATAGGAGATGTATTTCCGAAGGCGGTTTCTTGTAAAAAATATCCTTGTACTGTATGTGATTGGATAAACCACTTGTCCATTATCTTGAATGACGTGCTACTTCAACCGCTCATATCGAAGCACACGACTCAGCACACAACCTCTCGCTGTGTTCCACGATCTTTGAATCAGTCGCTTTCACATCTTGAAGGAGTTCACATTGCCCTCGAACCCAGATCCTTGTGTAGAGCTCAGCGAAACACATCTGGTGGAGCTTGACGGAACTACAAGGCTCTGGCGAGAGTCGGGTTAGGTGATGTGGTTTCTAGAGCGGGTGTATTACAGCAGAGATAGTGGGATTCATGAACAGGAGAATTGAAGATAGGTAATCACAGAATAAAAGTTAATTTACTCATCTTTGTCCTGCACCTATAACGGGTTAGAATAGGCCTTTTTTCCATTTTTTATGTATTGTTGTTTGGTCATTCCCAGTAATTCCAGTTTAAATCAAAACAAAACACAAACATACAATGTCTGTGCATGACCAGGCACACAAAGCTTAGGCCCCGTTTAGACGGATGTCCATATGTGAGACTGTCCAGATGTTAGACTGCGCATGTCCAAATGTACGTGCAGGGAAGTGGGGAGTTCATTGCTTTTTCATTGCTGTTTCACACAGCTGTGAAACAGCCCCCCGCCACGCAGCGTATCTGTTCTGATCCTTTCTGGAGACTGTTTCTCAACGCTTGCGTTTTCACGCCTCTGAAACACCGTCTTCATGTAAACGAAAGGCCAATCCGATACCCAACTTTAACGTTTTACTGTCGCAGCGTCCTCGTGTAAACAGCACCTGATAGTAGAACAAGATAAATAATGCTCTAGATAGAATTGCTAACTCAGTTTTTTGCTTAAAAAAAGGTACAACACTGCAGGCTTTTTTGCAACAGCCGTAATCAAGTTCCAACCTCATTGTGTCAGTATGTGACAAGAATGGGTTATCATCTGCAGTAATATCCTGACCATGTTTACGATATAAATCAGCATTGGCTCTTTAACTTTGTAATGGTTTCAGATGCCTGGATTGTAAGCACCTTGATGCCCTCTACCCTCATAATCCTAAACATTGTTATGTATGCATTTAACACCGGGGAGTCAATCTCCAATTCCATTATTGACGGATGGAACTGTTTCCTGTCTAGAATACTCCTTATACATTTTAACAATAGATTTTTCCAATAAACAGAAGCTAAATGAGGTTTGAGACAAATGTTTTGATTGGGAAAAAATCGCAGATGCTTCTCCTCCCTCAAGGCGTGGGACTATTGACTTGTAACACAACTAGACAAACATGGACAGTGCTATTGACTTAACAATGTACAAAATACAAAAGAGTATTTTAAATGTTGCCAGATTTAAATTACAGCACATGTAATCGATATAAATATTCTGGGCCAATATAGGTGTTTGTATTTTGTTAGAACTCCCACTGGGGGGCAGAAGGGATTGGTTCTATGAGAGCTCCAGAGCTGAAGACTAGCACACATTACTGCTTCCTGGTGTGTTTATGTGAACAGCAGAGAGAGATGACATGAGGAAGCACACAAAAATACACAGAACTTGTTTTTAAGTGATTAGGGCTTGTTATTCTGACTCCATAAAGTTTTGGTTAAACTGATCCATATCTGACATCACAATGATGTCATCACTTCACAATTAGTGAAGCAAATTCAAAGCAGCGATGTCATTTGGCTGATTTTGACAAGGTTTATTGAGATACGGCCTGGAGCTGCTATGATACACATGATGATACATAAATGTTTAATTCACCATTGCGGTTTGTGGATGACGCTAGTGAACCTCATTCCCCATGGAGAGCGGTGGACTTGATCTGACCTGCCCACTGGGACACATCTAGTTTGTATCAGCTGCTTCTGACATTAGATGAAAAAACTACTACTTTCTAATATGGTCTATCCCAGGCCTTACCAGCAGAGGAGACTTTGATTTGAACCCAATATCAAACCTTTTCTCCTGTCAATCCCTGCTTATTCTATGCTATTTTAAATAAAGAGACAAAACATCCACTCGTTAGAAGCCACTGAGCTCACATACTTCCTTCATTTTTGCTATGAATTGCACTCCTCAATCAGTCTACCACATCATTTAATATCATGTGATATTGGGACTGTGGCATTACAAGTCTTACTTACAGTATGTTACAGTTGTTTATATTCAATTGTCCCCTGTAGGTAAATGTTCTTCCAATGCCACGAGGGCCTCTGTCAGGAGCAGCGGTCACTGGTACTGTGACCATCTCAAGATGTTGATGCTCAGCCTGGTCAGAACTGGAGCTGGAGGATTTGTATATTATACATGGAGTGGTACAGGAGAAACCGGAGCACCCAGAGGAAACCTATGCAAACACAGGGAGAACATGCAAACTCCATTTAGAAAGGCCCTGTCTGGAGGTGCAATTGACCCCTGGTTCTGGACAATATCGTACAATAATGCAGATACTAATATGTATTAATATGAAAAGAGTGAATTAATAACACCTTTAAATCAATCATCAGTACATCCTCTCTCCTGCCTCTCCCCCCTCTTCCTCTCCTGTCCATCCTCTTCCTCACTCAGGCACGGTGGCTGAGTGGATAGCACTCTTGCTTCTCAGCAAGAAGGTCCTGGGTTCGAATCCTGGTCGGACCAGGGCCTTTCTGAGTGGAGTTTGTATGTTCTCCCCGTGTCTGCGTAGGTTTCCTCCGGGTACTCCGGTTTCCCCTACCACTAAAAACATGTACAATAGGTCTGGCATGCGCCTCCTGTACTGCCGACCCTGCTCCCATCTCTGTGTGGAGTCAAATGCCCAAAAAAAATAACAAATTGTAAACCGCTTTGTGACTCTGGTTTGTGAAAGGCGGTATATAAATAAATATGACTTACTTTCTCCTCTTCCTCTCTCTCCCACTCCCTCCCTCTCTATCTCCTCGTTCTCTGCCCCCCTCTACTCTTGTCCTCTCTCTCTCCTCTTCCTCTCTCTCCATCCTCACCCTCGCTCTCCTCACGTTGCTCTGAATAATCACGTGCCCCCCCCCCCTCGCCTTGCTCTGATTGGCTGAGGCCGCGGTGATCGCACACGCGGGTCCCATCCTTCGTGAATGCAGCACAAACTGTTGAGGCTGATCCATGGCAACACCACCACACACACACACCACCACAGCAGCCCGGACCGAGACCTCTCTACGGCCGCACGCCTTTCTCCCCTCCCCGTGCCTCATCTCCACACTGACACCACCGCTATGACACCACGGGGACCCGCCTGAGACGTCACCCACTACCACCAAGGTGACCGAGCGGGAGCGAGGCAGCAGCTGGCCAGGGTAAAGAGCCACTAGCGAGGCAGGTGACAGCAGACAACCACCGCTAGCTAGTCCGTCCCGAATACCAACACACGCACGCGGGGAAGATGCTACTACTTATGTTAGCTACAGCAGCGTGAAAAAGTGCTAGTTCTGCTTCTGAATTAGAATGGAGCTATGTGTTGAAAGCTAAAATACAAAGAAAATTGGTTCTTGTTGAATTTGTGTCCCAGTGTATAGTTCCATCTTACCCGAATCGCGTCCGCCTGAGCAGCGGTTTGAGCGAACATGGCGACAGGCTCCGGTTGGCAGCAGCAGCCCTTCTACTCTCCAGCCGCCGGTCCGAGCAAATTCACCACTTCAACCTCGACGAGCAGCTTGTCCTTTCAAACTGGCATCACCATGGAATATACCCAAGACCTGCACCTGAAGATGAGCAAGAAAATTGCACAGCTGACCAAGGTAAGGCGTTTTGACCACTGCCTGCTTTATTTCCTCTAAAACCCCGAAAGGATTTTTATACATTCATATGTTTGTGGCATTTTCTTTCGCAAAATTGTCTTGCTCCAGTCAGCAATGACATGTCTTATGTTCACAGCTGCTATGACAGCATACCTCACAATCTCCTCTCTAATCTTCATAAGTCTATTGCTCCTATTTCACAGCAATAAACTCTGAATAACTATTACAATAAAGATTATTTTGATAATTGATTCATTCAATTCAATGTATGTTTGTATAGCCCTAAATCACAACTGCAGTCACCTCTGAGGATTGTACAACATTGTCAAATTGCCAACTACAGATTGGAGAATCAAACCAAGAATGCAAGAAAATGCAATGATAAGAAAAAGAGGCATTGTTCCATTGGAGAGCAGGGTGATCTATGTCCATAAATGTCCTTAGACCCTCCTGCACCCCCTTATCTATCTAATATCTTTAGAGTTGATTGAATTGATTAGTTGTTAAAACGCAGGTGTGATTTCTTATCTCAGTTTGATCCTCATCAAGCTGAGACATAAGGAGACATCCTATAGACATTTTTTGTTTTATTTATTTTAGAGTTTTATTTGTAAGAATGAAAAATGTACACAATGATTTTTTCTTTGTATAGTTGCTGTTGTATTTAAGCCCTAACAACAGATTAAGTTAAGTTATACTTATCAATGGCTATGTTAAAATTAATGACAATGTAACAACACAACCACAATTTGCGACCATCTGTATGTGAAAGACAGATACCGTCTGACCCCTCAAGCTAAGCAGAGCAGAGCCTGGTTGGTACTGGGATGAGAGACCTCCGGGAACAAGACTGCCAAATTGTTGTTGTGTCCTTAGGCACAACACTGCCACATAGCCAAGAATGAGTCTGGTGTGTGTGAATGGTTGGTGGTGGTCGGAGGGGCTGATGGCACATAATGGTTGCCTCACTTCTGACAGTCTGCCCCAGGACAGCTGTGGCTACATAAGTAGTTTATTACTGCTCTGTTTGGAGTGAATGAATAATGCCATGTGAAGAGTCCAAAGAAGAGCTGATGCATAATTATTAATAAATTACTGCATTTAACTCAAATACAGTAGAAGAAAATGCAGTATAATGTATATGCAAGGAAATCTCTATCTCCTGAATTATAATGATTCACTATGACACACTTATTCAAATGAGCCTACTACATCACGTGTGGGCTGATAATATTCAAGAATTCCTCATAGCCTCAGAAAAATCCTCTTCCCATAGCGTCTAAACAAGTCTCCCACATCCATCCATGTAGGGCCATTAACGACGACATTAATGAAATATACAATTTATCACTGCCAATGCTGTCAACTTACTTTGTTTGTCTATGTTAATTTAGCTTCGAGACCTTATACATAATTATACCGCTCAACCCAGATCCAAACTTTGATTGCTGTTAATGACATGGTTGAAAAATCAGAGAGGATATGTAGTTCCACTTGCTATTTATTTATCCTGGTATGTGCCTTGCTTTGAATGTGCTGCTTTTCGCCCTGAGGATATCTCTGTGTGTGTTGAATGTAAACGTCTTTTGATGCATATTCGTGGCTGAAATATTTATGTACAACATGCGCTGGAGTTGTTCCTTTTAAACTATAGGGAGTGCGTTGCTAATATTTAATCATTATCAGCGTTACAAAGAGGGGAATTTGACCTTGTTTCGGGGTGATGTGTGTGGTGCTACCTGCTGGTTCAAAGTTTCCCCCGAGGACCTTAGTTTCCATCTATCCAAAATGGCAGGTTTGTAGCATTCACTACGGGTCACGACGTGGTTTGGCCTCAGGTGGGTCATTATCATCGGGCTGACGGTCCTCACTCGAACACAGGTGCCAAGTCTTTCAAACATCACAGCATTTTTTCAAAAGGGTTTGGCTTCACTGAAGGGAGTCCCAGTGCGTTGTATGTGGACTTATGAAATAGATAGTTTGTGAATCTTCTTGTAGAGATAAGTGTGTGTCCCCCAGAGACTGTGTTCGCAATCTCAGCTGTACAGTGGAACGACTTACATCATGTTTGATCTCAGAAAGGCGTTAGTCAACCAACAGAAGACTTTGAAAAGATCTGTTCTAAGCAACAGAGTCAGTTCTTTACTAACAATGAAGCATCTCTGGCACATTTGCAAAACTTAAACATTTTCATTACCTCTTTAGAGATCCTTGATTCGTCCCACAGTGGGGAAATGTCAGTGTTGCATCACACGGTACAGAACAGTAGGAATGAGGATATGTAATCACTGCGTTATTACATATCCACTCATCTGATATTTTTGTCATTCACTAGTCACTGTACCTACTGCTATTATTACTAAAGTACAATATACACATCTGTAAATACATCTAAACCAACTGCAAATATAGCTCCAGTTTTATTTTATTATCTATAACGTATTATATATTATTTTAATTGTTATCTTATCTTATCACACAACACAAGATAAGTGAATATTAAGTACAGCACAACTCTATACTTAAAATATAAAATAACAAATACATATACCTGTATTTTCTAATGTAAGGAAATACCTACTTGTATGTTTACATAAATCTGTAATACAGTACACTCTAGTGCTAGAATAATTTGATTATTGTGATATATTTTTAAATGCTCCCAGTAATTGTCTTATCCAAGACTAGATTGAAGACTTCTTTAACAAATGTTAGAAAATGTTTCAGGATTGTTTGTTTTACATATGAATAATCTATTTTAATTTTAAATTATTATAAGCCCCGGCGATCCAAGATGGCGGCCTATTCAAATTAATGTCCCATGCTCAGTATGTTCCATGCGCGGGGACCGAGAGATTATCGGAACTCATCTGGTCCTCCCGGTTCTGCGCAGTGGACGAGCTCCCATGGTGCTTTGCACCAAATACGTGTGTGCACAGAGGGGCTCGGCCGCGCCTTGACCAATCAGAGCTAGAGCGGAGCCAAAGCGGGGGAAAAGCGAGCGGATTTTGTTGCATTCAAGTGTGGATTTAAAGAAAACTGAAGGATTTAAGAAAAATTCAGGATGACAAGGGACACTAAAATCTCCACAAAATCCAATCTTTATTAAAGCTTTTGTTTCTCTGTCAGCGGAGGTTGAGCTGTTTTAGTATACATTGAGTTCTATGGGACATTTTTCTGGGTAGCCCACGTGAATTTAGTCTGTAGTTCCACGGGCACTTCCCTGTGCCCATGGGTGGGACAGCTATAAGCTATTAATACCCTATCCAGATGTTATTATAGATCCATGATTATAACACATTATTACACGGCTCCTCACAGCAGCAGTAGAATGCTACATTGATTTGAATGTAATTTCAAAACGTTCTACGGGTCATTATTTGTTATAACGGACCTCTCAAAACAATAATGACCGCTGCCCATGGCAACGCACTCTCTGCTTGTATTTCAAATGCGTGGGTAACTCCGCAAGTAGTTCCGGCCACTCCGGAGCTAGCCACGCTCAATAAACGCAAATACCAATCAATCAACACACTTAAATGTTAATCGGAGAATACTTATACATATACATTCTTCACTCACGTGCACAAAGATTTTCAGAATTTACTGCTCTTGTCTTCATGACAAAAATGTATCTGCGTCAAAAAGCGATCATGAAAAACCCGGAAGTAGTTCCAGCCACTCCGGAGCTAGCCACGCTCATTAAACGCAAATGCCAATCAATCAACGCCATTAAATGTTAATCGGAGAGTACATTATACATACATTCTTAATACAAGTGCCTTCAGGGCGGAAGCAGTCCGCTGCGCGTCGGGGTCCGCTTCGCCCTGTTGGTACTTATTTTCCGATAATGACCTGCGTACTATACGTTATTCCTTACATATTTAAGGTGAAGTGTTACCCAGAATGATATATGTTTCCCATAATATATAATTACTATGCAGTTAAGCATGAAAATTAATAGTTTAATCAAAATCTGTTTAGTAACCAACAGAATAACTACTAAAATATTGGATAGCTTTAGCCCTAATTATTATTATTAGTGTTTTTTCTTAAGATGAATCAAATAGTTTGAACATCTGTGGATCACGGAAAGCTTTTCAATATGGGATTTTAAAATGAATTTGACCATTAATTCACTGCATCTTTAAGTCTGTTTATGGTTCAAAATCATGAATCCTTCACAAAACTAGTTGCCATCATCTATTGTTTACAGATGTTCACATGCATGAATTATCAGAAGTTTGGAGTGCTGTGCTGCTTGTAGAGATTGCAGAGGAAATGCATTCAGACAGATGCGTACACTCTGATTTTCCCACAGCTCGGAAAACGATCTTAAAGCATGAAAAAGGCTTTAAGATCTATTTTTTTAACTGAACCATCCCTGACCAAGTCTTTTGAAAATACAAGTTATGAACATAATAACACATTTCTTACAAGCATGTTCTCTCGCGCACAGACAGAAATAGTCATTATTTGTCTGTGTCATTCGGATGAACACATCTCTATTCCATCCAAACACTGTCGGCCTGTGTGATGTCCTATCACGTCCCATAATTCCCTGGGGTGACACATCTGAGGCCTGTGCCCTGTGCCCCACTGGCACTGGGCCGGTAGAGTGCCCGTGCCATCTGCCCACCCCGCCCCACTGGTCTCTGCCCCTGTTCTCCCAGTCTGTCCTCATCCAGCAAGGACCCTTCACACCCACCACTCAACATTTCATCAAGTCATGTGAGGATTGAGTGTAGTGAAGGGCTGTCTGTTGGAATATTTTAATCTCATGCACCTCCATCCATTTTAGATTACTCTGTAGTTGTTTTTGTGTGGG